CCCAATTTCACGGTCCACTGAACATAGAAAATTATAGTGTGAGTGGGGCATCCTTGTTCTATGGACACATTCTTGTTTTTAATTGTCAAGTACACAAATTTCTAGGTTTTTTACTAGAATTTTAAGCTACACATTTCTCTAAACTAGAAAATGATATAAATTAAGGAGATGTGGTATAATTGCCAAAGTAGGCAACTATCTACCAGAGACCAAATGACGCAAATGTTTGCAACTATAGATCACCGTATATAGGTGACGTAGAGTAAAACATCGGATTCGGATGTGATTTGATTACAGTGTTTCTTTTATTCATTTATTTTGATCACTTTGCAGATTTTCCTTGTAGTCGTTCAACAAACATAGTAAGAAATGGGGGAACAACGATCTTAAACTTATTCGATCACTACTATGAACCAAGGCAATTTTATGATAATATTAATAATTATCGTGTTGTTTTGCTGGATCCTCCTCAGTGTAAATTGTTATTATCTAATTGTACAAAAATCATCTCAGAATTAGCAAACAAACCCATACTGGTAACTATAATGAATGACTACCTGGGCTTTTTGAGATGGTCCCCACAATAGCCTGTAGTGGTATTGGTATTTAACATCAGCGTCAAAATCGTATTGACTTTTCTAAAACGTCTTATAGTGGCATAGTTGTTTAACGAAGAACACACACAAGTTTTGAAACAAATTGTTTTATTGGACTTGTTCACAATAGATGCTTAAAATAATTCAACGTCAATGTTTTCAGTTGACAGTTTATAAAGATCGTAAAGTATGTCAAAACTCATTAATGTCATGCGGCTGAAGCGTAATTTTCGGATCCCTCAAATATCGCCGTCAGTTGTGTTCACTTACTCATTATCTTTGAGATTACATACACTGTGTTGATATGTTGTCTCCCTTTTTCTATGTAGGTCATGTTTTGTAATATTTCAATCAAAAATAATCATCACAATTATTTGTACACTTTACTTTAAACTGTAATTGTTCTGCTCCTCGGGGCGTCTTAATTGACAAATAAAAATTGTTGTTGTTGTTTTTGTTGTTTGTCGGTACTTAATATATTCGATTTGTATGGCCTATATTTATTTAGAAATGATAGATTTCATTGGTGGTTTACATTTGTACATCGAAATACTTGTTTAATAGTTGATAGCAGCAATTATATTAATAAAAAAATAAACCACAAAGTTCGTTCCGAACGGAAGACACGACCGGCCTCTGTACGTTTAAAAAGGAGTTTCATTTTTTTATTTTGTTTTCATTTTTTGTCAAAAATCATATAATACAATTTCACCATTCAAATGGTGGTGAGACGCGGTTTTGTCGTTTTCATCAACAATGGCCAAGCATCAAAGCTGTTTGCCATACTGAAAATCATCATGAACAAGTCTAGACGAATTGTGGATGAGGTAACCAGAATTGACCAAAGGTCTTACATTATCATCACAAAATTCATTAACAAAAAAGAAAGAATCAAAACAAGATAAACACATAGACAAGATTCCTGATTTGGCACCACAGGCGCTCGACTCTGAAAAAAATATTTATATACCTTAATATAACACAAGGTATCATCTCGCATTGCTGAGAAATGACATTCGATCGAACTTTTGTATTTGATTATAGATTATTCCGCAGTTGTCTATATTTTTTTTTTAGAGATAAGTGCCTGTGTTTGTAACAGGCAAACACATACTCGTTAATGAATCTAAAATAAATGCAATCTTTCTCACGCAATAGTGCAAAGAAAGATAACTGAATAATGATTTGAAGTATGTAATAATTGGACGGACAATATTTGATACTCGAGTGACTAATAGATTTGCATACTCCAGAATCCGTTTTGCTTTTTGTCTTTTCAACGTAGACCGACTGGTTGACTTTTTAAACTTTACTAAAACGACCGTTTACATCATATTTTAAAACTGTATATCAGTGGTCACTAGATAAAGCTGAAAACGAAACTAATTAAAAGGACAAATATGAGGACATTTATAAAATTTAAGTATGAAACTATATACATTTATATCCCGTGCCGGAGGGAGATATGAAGATTTGTTCACCCAAGAATATTCATATTTCACGAGGGCTCTGCAGTTTGTATTTTTCAACACAATACACCTATATGTGATAGTTGTTTGCATTTAAATTTAGTTATCGGACACCCAACACTATATATGAACAAAATTTATCGACCCATGTCGATATTACATGTATAACCCTCTCTAGGAGTGATTCTATAGTGCAGTCACCTTGTCTGTCCGTCCTTTCATCCGTTGGTTCAATAAATATTTTTGTAACTTTTCTTGGGTACTATAATAATTTCATCTTGAAATATGTGGAATTGTTCAACTAGACTACGTACTCGTCCTTTCCAAATTATTGTTTATCAGAGGAGGTAACAGAGATATATGTTTAAACTAATTTCAAGATACACTGGTCTTTATCAAATTATATATCCCACTCAACGTTTCCAATGTCTATATAAAAATAAGAAGATGTGGTATGATTGCCAATGAGACAACTCTCCACAAGAGCCCGAATGACACAGAAATTAACAACTATAGGTCACCGTACGGCCTTCAACAATGAGTAAAACCAATACCACATAGTCAGCTATAAAAGGCCCCGAAATGACAAATATAAAACAATTCAAACGAAAAAAACTAACGGCCTGATTTATGTACAAAATAATGAACGAAAAACAAATATGATATACAGCAACAAACGACAACCACTGAATTACCGACTCCTGACTTGGGACATGCACATTCAGAATGTGGCGGGGTTAAACTAGTTTGAAGGCGCGCCATCCTTTCTCTAACCTGGGACAGTGGTGTAACAGTACAACATAAGAACAAACTATAACTAGAGACTCTCAAGAGCCTGTGTCGCTCACCTGATTCTACTTTGGTTTTGGAAATCATGTAAAAATAAATTAAAAATCATAACAGATACCCTTATAATGATTGAGGCCAAATTTGGTTTAATATTGGCCCCGTAATTTAATCAAAAGCAGAACACTTTTGTAAGGTTTACAGAAATTACCAATAAGTTCATTGAAATTGTAGAAAATGACTTTACAAGGACAATATATATAACTCCAACAAGATGTAAATTGACAATTTTGTGTAGATCTTCTTTTCCTGATAGTTTTGCAGTTTACAGTATATCTCAATCTATAAAGATACATGTATTAAGGTCTTCATCTGCACCTAATAAGGAACATTTATGCCATGTTTGGTTTTATTCCATTCAGTGCTCCTCTAGAAGAAGCATTTGTATATATTTCCCATAAGGTCTTATGTTAAACTAAGTCCCCTGTTGGCAGCCATCTTGGATGATGGTTTGGCTACAAAGTAACAACACTTGGTCAGCACTTCATTAGGAACATTCATGCCATGTTTGGTTTCATTCTATTCAGTGGTTCTCTAGAAGAAAACATGTCTGTATTTCCAAAAGGGTCCTATGTTAAACTTACTACCCCTGCTTGCAGCCATCTTGGATGACAAATCAGCTACAAAGTAACAACGCTTGGTCAGCACCTTAAAAGAAACATTCATACCATGTTTTGTTTAAATCCATTAAGCGGTTTTCTAGAAGAAGACATTTGTATATATTTCCCATAGGTTCCTTTGTTAAACTAAGTCCCCCGTTGGCAGCCATCTTAATTGATGGATTTTCTACAAAATAACAACACTTGGTCAGCACCTCACAAGGAAAATTCATGCCATGTTTGGTTTCATTCCATTCAGTGGTTCTCTAAAAGAAGACATTTGTATGTATTGTCCATAGGGTCCTTTGTTAAACTAAGTTCCCCGCTGGCAGCCATCTTGGATGATTGATTGTATACAAAGTAACAACACTTGGCCAGCACCTCATTAGGAACATTCATGCCTTGTTTTTTATCATTCCATTCAGTGGTTCTCTAAAAGAAGACATTTGTATGTATTGTCCATAGGGTCCTATGTTAAACGAAGTCCCTCTCTGGCGGCCATCTTGGATGATTGATCGCCTACAAAGTTCCAACACTTGGTCAGCACCTCATAAGGAACATGCATGCCATTCAGTGGTTCTCTAGAAGAAGTTCAAAATGTAAAAAGTTAACGACGACGACGGACGACGACGACGGACCATTCAGTGGTTCTCTAGAAGAAGTTCAAAATGTAAAAAGTTAACGACGACGACGGACGACGACGACGGACCATTCAGTGGTTCTCTAGAAGAAGTTCAAAATGTAAAAAGTTAAGACGACGACGACGACGACGGACGACGGACGCCAAGTGATGAGAAAAGCTCACTTGGTCCTTTGGGCCAGGTTAGCTTAAAATTAGTTGAAATGGGCTTACCTCATCTGATCGATACAAAGCAGAAATAAATGTTACAAAAACTTAGAGTGGACATGGCAGGGTACTTATACATCCCCACAGCAAGAAGACACTAAGTACACATATGAGAGTACTCGCAGTTACTGACAGCTAGCTCAAAGCCAATAACAACTAATAAAAGAAATCATGCATCTAAGACTAAAATATCAATCAGTGCACATCCAACATCCAATGGATTTAGTATAAAGACGTCATTAACAGACAGAGAAAAACATGACCTTTTGCAATGCCAAGATACAGGTATTGACAGATTGTAGAGCAATGAATGTGCATACATATATAAAAATAATATTTAGTTTGATTTTAATTTACTGATAACAAATTCAATATTAATACCAATAAATCAATATTCAAATATCTAATTAAAGTGTTGAATGGTAACCTTTTAGAATAAGTTTATTTAAAGCATCGATAAGTTTACCCGGATCATATCTAAATTTCCGGGCTCGGTAAACAACATCTCCGTAAAAAATAGGATGTGCTATCCCATTAAAAATAATTTTCTACAGGTACAACCAAACTTCCAAATCAAATCTTTATATCTATGTAAGATAGTTTTGTTGAAAACAAGATGACAAACATAGTTAGATATTGGCTATTAAATCTATATATTTATTTGATATACGATACAGAAATATACGTACAAATGTAGCTAGCATCGTACAGACATAATACATATACGTAAGGAAATAAAAAATAATATAATAAATCTGACTTAAACTTTATAGTTCGTAACAATATAAATATTAACTGACTGAAACTAAATATTATGCTCTGAATATTTGAAATGAGTTCATTTCATGTAAAGGACCGCTGTGCATATTAAATCCATTTTAGCTGATATATTTGTTAGACAGAAAAAAATAATATATAAGTTCAGTAATAATAACGTATATTAAAACTAAGTCATTATGGTATATGATATATATGAAATACTATAAATATATAACATCTTTGTTAAACTGTTGAATCTTTTTCAAAGGCTATAATCATTTAAGAGGGTACATAACATATAAGGGAGTTAACTCTTTAAAAATCAGCTGAACATTTAAATCACATACTATAAGTGAAGAGAAATCAAGCTTCTCAATGATCAAAATTAGTGTTTGTCAAACTGCTATATATCCGATGAAATTATTTCTGTAAATTGTGCGGTTTAAATTTCTTGATTTTTTTTATATTTTTGTCAACAGGTCAAATTAAATAATTTATCAAGATTTTATGAAAATTAAACGAGCCAAATTCATTTTGGTAAAAGTGTTGGGTACTCCCTTAATATGAGTAAAATAAAAAAAATAATGTTGAAAGACTCAAATTCATGGTTTGACTTATTGCAAAGAAAACTGTTATCACGAAAAACGAATATCACTCATATTATGTATGAAATGCTTTATAGATTACACAATAGTAAATGAAGTTTTTTATTTTGTGATACAAATGCAAGCACCATTTTTCATAACAAATTGCGTAAATTAAATAACTTAAACGTTAGCTTCTACAACCATCAAATAACTCAAGCCTCAGGTCCTACAATCTTTTAAACCACCTCTTTGCTACTATATCTGGATCTTTATGTCGTATCATAGTCTGAAATAGTCCAACATCAATCTTACATGTAAGTCTTAAGGTACAAGTCAGATAAATAGGAAACATTCCGAGGAGAAAAATTTATATTTGAAAACCATATGAATACCTATCATGAAATATTCGTGGCACATAGAACATTTTTACAAGTAATACACAATATTTAAATAACAATATTTTCCCTTTTGGGATTGCCCTGACATTGGTGTTGGGTTAGATAATTAAAAAACTGTGTCTTTGACATGTTACTAGTAATATTTTCCTAGATGTGTGTCATAAGAATGTTTTCTTCTGAACAAACTATGTGTATGACGCCTTCACAAGCTTCATCTGCAACTCTTCAATAACTCATGTCATGGTTATTGCTAAATATCAAATACATGTAGTACCGCTGAAGTTGACTCCATAGAGTTTTATGACTTTTTTATGTAAGGTGTCAGCTGTTTAGTTGAACTTCGATGGCCTTCAAACAACTTTTAAGAAGAAGGACAGTTTGTATTTGAAATCATTATCTCGTGTATCCTGTTTTCTTTCTGACAAATTCCGGTTCCTATAATGCATTATCATATCTGAATTGATCAATGTTTGCCAGTTTTAAAGTTTAACATCGAACGAAACAAGTTCTCTTAAATAAATAAATAAATAAATAAATAAATAAATTATATATAAATGTACTAAATAAATAAATGATTTGGAAAATACGTTGAAGGTATAAAAAGTCATGAGAATTCTGAATGCAAAATACGTTGAAGGTATAAAAAGTCATGAGAATTCCGAATGCAATTAGGTAAATTTCCGTGAATGTAATTTTTATATACTAAATAAATAAATGATTTGGAAAATACGTTGAAGGTATAAAAAGTCATGAGAATTCTGAATGCAAAATACGTTGAAGGTATAAAAAGTCATGAGAATTCCGAATGCAATTTGGTAAATTTCCGTTAATATGTTAACATGTTGAACTTCGACCCCGGGTTCAATCGGGGTTAATAAACCAATTGACAAATAGAGATCTCCTTGCGCTCAAATGTAATTCTTAGAGAAGTATACTGGCAACTTTTTTTACAGAAATATATACACATTTTATCATTAATATATTGTCATGCTTCTGCATATTCACTTTTGTTTACGCTGAACTTTAGTTGAATTTGATTCTATACAAATTTTATTACGTGAAGCAATAGGAGTAAGAATATTTTTTCGCGCCAAAATAACCTGCATCACTGCCTGCATCAGTATTATATCGTAATCTGTCTGACATTTCATTTAAATAGCGTTTAATAATATAGAGTAATTTTGGTAAGTATTACTTATTAATGTTAAGGTTCTCCAGAGGTGGTTCTCTAAACCTTCGTGACGGTCAGTTTAATCCCATTTATCAATTATCCCCGATGACAGAAATGTTAACTCAGTCGATTTGTGTCATGAGTGAAAATCTTATCTATTTGATGAACTAATTTCTTCATTAACTGTACATGCGATATTTTTGTATTATTTGACAACCAATCACATTCACTTTACATGATAAATGGGTTATGTATGTGTGAATTGTGTAGTGTAATTTAAGGGCGATGCAAATTTGTGACGTCAGTGCGCGATCACGTGACATTATTATTTGTAAACAAACCGGCTCCCCATGTAACACGTGTGGGAATTATCCATACAAAGTGCAGTCAATCTTATATTTCACTATTTTATGATATTTTTGTGTCTGTTTGTAGGTTTGCAGATCAGTAGTCAAAGTAAAATAGACATAGTGTTATTGTTCCTGTTCTGAGTTGTGATTTTTTTTGGATACATTTTGTACATGTATATAGAATTAGAAGGTAAGTGCATTAGTCATTATTTAACTTAAGTCTGAAAAGATGACCCAACCTTCCCTGTAATTTTTCCTCAATTTTTGAAACACGCATAATTTAAATAGCATTTGCTTCCCTTGAACACTATTTGACCCCCTCAACTCCCCATTTCCCTCCAAATTTGCTCAAAAGTCATACTCATAGTCCAGCGGCTGTTTTGTGATTTTGACATTTTAACTATTATTTTCATATTGAACACATTCAACCATTCAGCTTCCATGTATTTGCATCTTATATGAACGAGGTGTTAGGTCATGTTTTCCTATACACCTTATTTTTATTTGTCTGCCATTACTGGACATCACCCAGGTTCCTGATGTCACAATACAAAATATCTGATGCCACAATTGAAAAATGATTATTGCATGACATCAATAGTTTAAGCAGGACAAATTATCAGTTCAGCTTTCATGTATTTGCATCTTATATGAACGAGGTGTTAGTTTAATAACATTAAACATTTCAGCATCGCCGGAAAATGAAGCTTTGAGGTAAATATCTTCTCATTTAAATTATTTTAACATTGGAAACTAGACAAAAATATAGAATCTTATGATATTTCCATCAACCTAGATATACAGTATATCGCACATTCTTTTCTTTTTAAATCAGACGGAAAGAAACTGTCAGTTTCATTTATTCTTTACCACACATCCCTTATTTCCGTCTATATTTTTCTAGAAGTTTTATCTGCACCAAATTAGGACATGGTAACTGGTTCAACATCCGGGTTGTTTGGTTATAGAAACCCAACTTCTTGGTTCTATCCGGGTTCTTTTCTAATATTCCCGTTGAACTTTGAGAAGATATCCGCAAGTATCCGAATAAAGAGATAAAGTAGGTCCAAGACGCTTACCTTGTTTTATATCATTTATACATTCCAGTATCGCTGGAAAATGAAGCTGTAAGGAAAATACCTTCTCATTTTAATTATTTAACATGGGAAACTGGACAAAAATATAACATCGTATGCATTTTAACCCAAATATACAGTATATCTAAAATCCGTTTTTAGAATCAGAGTCGTTCCGTTTTCATTTATTTTTCACTACTCATTCCTCATTTCCGTCAATATTTTTCTGAGAAGTTTTAAAAACACTGATTAGGACATGTCGTTAATTTGGCCAATGATATGTGCATATAGCACTTCGATACTTTTGTAGTAGCGGTGAGCATCTTGGACATCCATTTCCCTTTTCATATATTTTAAAAATATGTATCCTATCATGCAATGCGGGATTAAGCTGTTCCACAGAGAAATAAATAGATTTGACAAAAATCTAATGCACATGACACCCCACCAAGACTATGTCTCTAATTACGATTAACCACAAGCCCTACTGCCATGGCCAATATAAAAATCGGTCAGGTAAAATTCTGTTTCGCATGACAGTAAAATATAACAGAAATCTTCATCAGCTAAGGAACCAAGAAAAGCACTAAAAGTTATTGGTTTATACATAGTAACTCGCACCAGAATTCATCCCGAATGTCAGATAGGTAGTCACACGACGAAATTGCGTGAATACACGGGTCGGTGAAAAGTTTACCACATTTATCACATAAAATAATATCACTTTTCGTATTGTGGACCAAACAACACAGGGAAACTATATAATTTGCCTGTTTACGCAAATATGGAAAAACTAATGCAACAGTCCATGCAGGATGAGGCTGGAATATTTTATGTATCTTCTTGAATATGTTAAAGTCACTATCTATATTTATACGTTGCTGCCATTCCTTTAGTTCATATTCAAAAATAGATCTGTGAACTATTCGTTTCCATATACGCTGAGACGGAAAAGTTCCGCTAGTCATAAACTTTGTTAAATAGTTCGATAAATGGTATTTGTAGAGTAAATCTACACAGTCCTTTGAAAAATCTGATGCACAATTGATGTTCTGTTGATTATAATACTTTAGTTCGAAAAGTCTACGTACGAGAATACGGAATGAAATTGCTGTTTGTGGTAAATTACAAATTCGTCCGAAGAACAATAACTTACGTTCATTAATAAAACTGTCTAGGTTAAACCAACCAATAAGAGAAAGGCACATATCAGTTCTTGTACGTCTAGGCAATCCTTGAATGAACTTGCATACATAGCGATGCGTTCGTTCTAGCATAAGTGTTTCTGTTTTAGGCAGCTTGCCCCAGATCTCGCATCCGTAAAGAGCTTTCGGGTAGCATACTTGGCGAATAATCTTTGCACACACTATAGGGTTGAGTACAGCAGGATGAATACCGGAGCGAATCACGGACGCAGTGGTTGCTCTTAAGGTTCGACACGCTTTTAATGTACGATCCATTGTTTTCATCGAAGTGTCCAGTGAAATCCCAACATGTGTTGCGCTTTTAACTGGTACAATAGGTTCTTTGTATAAGAATATATCTTGTCCTATTAGTTTTTTGCCGAATTGAAGAAGTTTGCTTTTCGCGGGTGAAAACGAGAAGCTCCATGATTCGCTGTATTGTTCACATATTGATACCATTTCTTGGGCGGACTCGTGATTTGTGGCAATAAGCGAAATGTCATCAGCCTGAACAGGAGAACTACTATTAATGTCATATAAGAATGCTCCTTTGTTGCTAGATTCAAGTTCATTTATCAAATCGTTAATAAAGATCAGATATAACTTAGCAGATAAAGCACTGCCTTGACGCACACCACGGTTCAGTTTAAACCATGTCGAAAGTTTTCCACCAGATAGAATAGCACTTGATAAATCTGTGTACATGTTATCTAATAGTAACCATAATTTTCCGGTCGCACCATATTCAAAAAGTTTAATACGTAGTCCATCAGGAGGTACTGTGTCGAATGCTTTAGTGCTGTCCAATAAAATAATTATAACTGTTCCGTTCTTTTCTATGTGATGAATAGTTACTTCATTAAAGTTGAATGAAACATTTAAGCTAGACAGGAGTTTTTGGTAAGCTACCTGTTGGACATTCGGAAAGTCAGTACGCAATAAGGTAAGTAGCAGATCAACCATCTTCTCGAAGACCTTTGTGATACTAGGCACTAACGAGATGCCTCTGTGTGAGTTTGTATCTGTTTTGGCTTGTTACCACCTTTATAAAGAAGTATTATCATACTCTTTCTCCAGTCGTTCGGAATGTACGCACATTTGATACAC